CGGTTGTACGAGAGGTAAAGAATGTCATACTCACTCGTGACCTGGTGCGGAGCGCCTTCAGCTAGGCGAGTCCATCAAGACTATTGCGTTCAGCATCAAATGTCAAGGACTTGCAGAGCTATTTAATTTGTGGATTTATTTACCATCACAGTTAAAACAAATGAGACTATATAAAGAAGACCAACACATGAGATCCATTGATCTATCCTTACTCATTCTCATTTGGAAGTGTACATTAATTGAGGTGCAATGATATCTGAATAACTGTGTTGAAGTGATATTTTTGTTATAGTGCTTCGGAAGTTCGAGTCTCACTATTTTACTTTTGGCGCGTTGGTACGCACGCGTGGTTAGTCCATATATCTGCGCACAATGGTTGTAAAAAAAGAAGTTAAGGAGAAAACAAATAACCCGATGAGGGAAATAAAAATCCAGAAGCTATGCCTTGATATCTGCGTTGGGGAAAGCGGTGACAGACTAACTCGAGCTGCCAAAGTTTTAGAGCAATTGACTGGTCAGCAACCCGTTTTCAGTAAAGCACATAAGACTATCAGGAGTTTTTCGATCAGACGTAATGAAAAAATTGCTGTCCACTGTACTGTGCGGGGTCCAAAAGCAGAGGGTACGGCAGTTTAATCCCTAATTTTTCAGAAATTTTGGAAAAGGGTCTAAAGGTTAAGGAATACGAGCTTCCTAAATCATGCTTCAGTAAAACCGGAAACTTCGGCTTTGGATTGACGGAACATATTGATCTTGGATTAAAATACGATCCCGCTATTGGGATTTATGGAATGAACTTCTACGTCATTTTGGGCAGACCTGGGATGCGCGTTAGATATCGGTAATATTACCTTCAGTTACTAAATTTTTAAACTAGACGTCGTTGTCAAAGCCGCGTTGGTAACAGTCATCATGTCCAAAAGGAAGAAGCTATGAAGTGGTTTCAAACAAAGTTTGATGGTATTTTGTTAAACAAATAATGTTAAGAGGAAATTCTGGCATTTGTTATCTGGTTCTTATTTGTCGTGGCAATTCTTAAAATTAGCTTGTAATCTGGGTGTTAAACTATTGAATCCTTGTTGACCAGTTAGTGTAAGCATAGATCAGTTTATACATGTTTCGACGATCATATAGCTTATCAAGTCGTTTTTGTAATTCGTGTATATGCTCATCCAGTTAGTTTAGCTAAACTACTGCTCACAACATGTAGCTTCTGCATATGTTCGTGCTACGAGCAGATGGGTATTAAGGCCTTTATAATAATTAGGTTCCTTGGTTTTTTCTTAATACATGATTGTAGTTTCGTAAATAAATTATAAAGTAGAAATTTGTCATTGGTGTAATATCTTGAGACAGTCAAGTTGTACAACTCAGTTGTTAAATGGTCTTTGACTATTATGATGCATTATTGCGGAATGTTGGTCTGTCTGTTTAGTATAATATCCACCGACAAATTGCATGTTAGCCCTTCTACAATATAGCAGTCGGACATCACATTATTCTTGACGATAACTGTAATAGTGTCTACATTTTGTCACAGCTTAGGAATGATAATTCAGGTGATATCTCGGTTCACGAATTCCTATCTGGAAATGCCGAAAAGTTGAAGATAAATATTACGCTATTTATGAACTAACCATTCAGTTAGTTGTAAAAGGTTCAGTAGTCACAGCTACATACTTGAGAAACCATATAGTCTGGTCTCTTAATTTTTATCGACTATGGAATTATAGCCACACATTTCGTTCAGTGTATTAAACAAAGTGCTGGAGTTGTAATTAGAGTTTTGGCTGCTATCGAGTCTATATACGTTTCTTTTATTCGGCAGTCAACCAAAAATACTGGTAGCATAAAAAACAGACTTATCAACCAGCACTGTATTATACTAAAATAACTTATAGTCTTCCGAATGGACATAACGTTGATAATGTTTTGGATACCTATTAGTAAGTCGGAAAAATACTATATCGAACTCCAAATGCTGTAATACTTCATGAAGTTTTCTGATTTTGGCGTAGGGTATCTAGATTAGTGAAAACTTTGTTATGTATTCGAACCTCCACCAAGATCAGTGGTTGCAGACATTGAGTGGTAACCTAGTCAGTCATTGGCGCAAATATATGCACTCGTTGTAGTCCTTTAAATACTAATTTCTGTTATTTCGTCGTACGTTGCTGTCGATCTTCTCTGATCAGTTTCTCGATCAATTTTGCCTATTACTATTGCTGTATTATCTCGGCACACCTGTTACTCATCCTTAGTTGTATTGTACTGGTATGATATAAAAATCAAGCTCAATCCTCGTTTGTACCATACTCATCGCGGATAACGTCTGATTGTTGGTAGTTAGGGGTAGAATATATTCCTCAGCCCATCATCGCCTTCCAATCTGACTTTTTTTAGCAGTACCATTATCCAAAGATGTTTCACACATTATTATTAGGTAGAGAAAATGGTGAAAATTGAATGAGTCGCTATATTGAGCCAGTAATTATTTGTGAAAATAACATCACGTATATGTTCGATTAGTATTTTTATCCTACTCATCTTCAGTGTGGTGTATATTCGTTAGTAAAGTCTCGAATTTCTGCAAGTTGTGGCAAACTTTTCAGGACTAGTGGCAACTGGTCATTATTGTCGGTGCTTTTAAACAGTTCAGTTAGGTCCCACTATCGTGCTTGATATGTATGTCGGTTTGAGGGCTAATCGCTTGGCTAATTTCATTCGCAACCAAATGTTGGAATTCAGCTAGTAAGCAACGAAGATAATCTCTAATTAGAAATGTTGTACCTGGTTTTAGGACGAGTTTCTGTTTGGTCACTGGGGCAGTATCACAGTCCTCACACATCGAATGAGATCTGTATGGCGCATGTGTATTTCGTGCCTCCTTGTACCAATATCTGTGTTAAGATAATAATGCTAGGACGAGCGGGCTTCTGTGATGCAATCTGATTAGCTATGTTAGTCGCTGAAAGAGTTTTCACTTATGAAAATAATAGTGCTTTTCAAAGTTATGCAGTAATGGCACCCGACTGAGTGATTAGCTTATCTTACTGTAAGAGATAGACTGTTGGTCGGGATATCGACAAACTATCTTGTCACAATTCGATTGGGATATAGACTTCGGTATTCTTGGTGAACGATTCTGTGTTGTAAATAATTGCAGCAAACAAAGCGGTTGGCCTTCTGTATTGGGACCCATTAACCTAAAAAAATTTGTGGGAATATGTGGACTAGGTATAGATGATTTATTGTTGTCTAAGCGGTGAACCTAATTATGATTTTACTCGTTCTGAAAATTTTTATTCCTATTATTGGGTCCACTATACATAACCGTCGCACTTCAATTTTCTGTCTCTTGATCTCTCTGTGAGTCATTTAGGAAAATAAGCTCCCAATGAACCTTTTTTTCCTTAGGGATTGTATTAGTCATTTTCACATAACTCAGCACCGATAATTACACATCACACCTAAAAGCCAAATTGTTTGGAGAGTATAGAATGCAGAATAGTCGTGGATTCAGAGTTTCTTGTATTCGGTATTGGTAATTGTATGGTCATATAACCTAAGTGTATCAAGAAATTCAGTAAATCTTTGTACCATGTACGTTTTCAAATTCTGAAGACATCAAAAGCCATCGCTGTCGGTATGAAACTTTTGTTACTTTCTCTTAGCGCATATTATGATTCATTCCAGGTGCATAGAAAATTCATGTTTTATAAACTAAAATCATTCACTAAGTTCAGGGTTAACATATTCAGCCTACAACTGCCTCGTTTAGTGGCTAGATATAGCTCCCTGCTGTTCGATTAGCAGTAGAGTTTGGACCTTAAGTCCATTAGCAGGAGTTAGGATATTTCAATTACTAAGCAATAGTCTCAGTGTAATTCATATTACAGTTGTAAGCTAGTTTATCTATTTTACTGTACTAGATGATGAGACCTGTGCAACCGTAAATGGGTCAAACTATGCAGATACAAACTTATACTGTACCACGCCCAAATATCAGATATTGAAACTTTTAATAAGATAATGGTATTTGTATCAATTTTACGAGTTTTTCAAGTTCCATTTGTCAACTGGTCCTCTTTCGATGGTTATTTCAGCCAAACTTTAGAAGATAGTTTTGTAGGTCGATCGAAAGTCAAACGTTGAATTATGTCTTTCTTATAGTTGGATAAGGTTCTCAGTTCAAAATGCCATTTGGAAAAAGATCATATTGAAGTCCACTCATTAAATTTGATCAACTTGTAGGTTACGAAAAATAAAGAGCAAACTATAAAGAGTCAGAAGTTCATTACTACTCGCTACTTAGAGATCACCGCATTTAGATGTGTTCTTAGAAGTTGATTGAATTCTTAAAGATTTTCAAAACACAAAACTGTTACCTATCAATTCATACATATGTTTTCTAATCCTAAACATAAACCAACTATATCGAAACGTTAGATATATAGCACAAAGTTTACAATTTGTAAGTGAAAATGTGGAGAGTTACAGTTTTGTTTCGCTGCGAAGTAGAAAAAAGAGTACTACATGCATATGATTCCTAAGGAAGTAGAAAGGAAGCCGGATATTTTTTCAAGTCAGACTATATCAGTTCTAACTTGTGCGTCTTTGATTTGTACTAGCGTTAGTATTCCTGTGAATGTATTTTTGTAATGGTGTGTTAGTGCATTATAGGTTTATGTAAGTAGTTAAACTAACTATGATTAGTTGCTACTAATTCTCATTTGAATAATAAGTAGCATCAAAATTAATAATAATAGTGAAGTTTATATACATATATACTGTGGTATACTTCATGTGAATCTCATTATATTGGTGATGTTGAAGCATATTTTGTTTTGTAAATTAATTATAACCAATAGAGATATATATATCAGAAGAAATAAAAAGGAAAAGATTGAAAAGGTGTTTGTCTCCGTAAACAGGTGGAAAGAAATGACCGTTTCGTTAATCAAGTAATTCTATCAGCATCATAGTTGTTTTCTTATCTCTTAGAATATTTCAGGATTCCTCATACATATGAAATTCACATTTGTAATTATTCGGTTGCAAAGTCGATTTTGCCAATATAGATTAGGAGTTACAAGTACACAAGCTTTAGGTCCTCTGTAATGTTTTTGTTTTTGTAACAGGTAGTGTTTACGTTTTATCTGTTTATTAGTTGGTGATCGCCATTTTGTATTGACCGGGTGTCCTTTATCCCATTTTGTAAAACCAACATGTTCGAAATTATGCCAAACCCATGGTCCGCGTGGTTGTGTTTGGTGAAGACCTATAATTAAGGAAAAAAATTGTAGTTTAGATTTGATCTCACTAGTATTTTATTGCATGTTTTTATGTATTCATCGTATAAATACGGATTGGAAAATTTGAAATGGAAAACCATTATCATTTGCTTTACATTGAAATTATCATTCAACTGGGAAACTTATTTGAAGTTTGTACTAAATTCGATTCCTGTCTTGTCTAAATTTACTAGTGATTTAGTTTATTTGCCGATTATGGTTTCATATTTTAGGGTTTGAACTTTCCAATATTTTGTTCGAGGTCTAGTGTTCCTATTTCGTTCCCCAGACCTCAGAAGTAGGTGGAACGTGGTTAGAATAGAGCACTCCAATCAAATTGAATATAATTCTCGTCGGGTTTTATTAGAGATAAATTTATTTGTGGTGGTTTTTGTCTCGAATTAAGGTTGCTCAAGAAATCGTTGAAGACGAGTGTTTACTGACTGTTTATTCATAGGATATGACTTTTCAGCATTGTGCGTCTATAACCTTGCAAGTGATTGAACTCATAAGCTTCAGTTCTTGAAACTAACCCATCACATTTAGATTACTGGATTGGAAACATAGTCCACACCATCTTAAGTCAGTTCAGGATGTTCTGTGACGATCATTTAGTCTCCTTGACAGGAAACTGCTTCATTTGAAACATAGTTGAAACCCTACAAACTACTCACTACTGACGGGTTTCGTACAGGGGCGAAACCTCTGTCTATTGGTTCCTTGTACTCGATGAAACCCCAGCTGATGTTCTTAGTGAAAAGATTTAAATAAAATCTTGATAGCCTCTTGATGTTTTAACGATTGCTGTACAGCATAACTTCAATGCTCTCGTGAATTTAACTTAAGAATAGTTTTGGATATATTACTGATCAATTCGCAAATGGAATTTGTGTTAAATTACCGAAAAAACGTTTATTTATGCATTTCAGTCTTTCCTGAAATAACGCCATAGCAAAACTTACCTATCCAGAATGGTTTGCGTGTTTGAAATATTTCAGCTAACCATTTCAAATTTGTCTCATCTGTAATACTAGTCAGAAATCCGTCTTGCAGTTCACAATAATTTCGTGCTTCTTCCCAAGTCATTTTCTTATTTTCATATAGTCGATAACAACGATGTTGATAAAATTTCCATCCTATGTTATGTATGTATTAATGAAAAATAGAACTACAGAATCAATTATGATGGAATATTTCGAATAAAAATACTTTAAACTTTGGTTTTTTGAGTTACTCAATAATTAATAGGATCAGTAGAAGTTTAATAAGCTGACCCAACAGTTCACTGGCATGATTCATGCATTTATTCATTCGAAACTGGTTTAGTTTAGGCGGTATTTTCTGATGAAA